CAATGGGAGTCGAGGGGGGCGAGGACTTCGTGGAAAGGACAAGTCCGGTTGGGCCTGGGGCAGAACGGTGGCCCGGTGAGGAGCCCCGGAGAGCGCCCGATGACTTCCACAGGGGAGCCTCCCGCCCCGCCTGCCGCTCCCAGTCGTCCTCTAGGGCGGTGGGAGCAGAGGAAACGGGGTTGACGCGGATGGTTTGGCCTCCGTGAAAGTGTGTGCGTGTGTGTGCGTGTGTGTGCGTGTGTGCGCGCGGCTCACTTTGATTCCCAGGCCCAGACATCCACCCCAGACTGGACAGACTTCTCCCTGTTTTCGTTTTGCTTTTGAGTCAGGGTCTCACTGAGTGGCCCGGGCGGGTCTTGAACTCCTAATTCTCTTCCCTCTGCCTCCCTGGCGCCGGGCGTGTTGGCACATTGTTTTGTGAAGTGCTTTCCCGAGAGGGAGTTAACATGTCACATCTCCTCTTTCCTCGAGTATGTCTTCCAAATCTATAAATAACGACAAAACCTTCCGTCTGTGTGTTTTGGTGCTTGCCCGGGTGCCAGAGTTCAACCCTGCCCCCCTCCCCCCAGACACACCATTTCTGTGGTGTCCTTCTACTTTGTTTTTTTTGAGGCGGGGCTTCTCATGGCCCGAAGCTCCCCAATCGGAGTAGGCTAGCTGGCCAGTGAACCACAGAGTCCACGCGTCTCTGACTCCTGGCACCGGTGGTGTAAGTGAGCACCATCTTGCCTGGCTTTTACGTTTTCTGTGCACCGGTGTTTTGCCTGCATGTATGTGTGTGCATCACATGTGTGCCTGGCGCCTGTAGAGGCCAAAAGAGGGGATCAGATCACCTGGAACTGGAGTTACAGGTGACCAGGAGAGGCCATGTGGGTGCTGGGAATTGAACCCAGGTCCTCTGGAGAGCATCCAGTGCTCTTAACCACTGAGCCCTCTCTAGGGTCCTTGCCCTGGCTGTCTTTGCATGTGTTCTGGAGCTCCAACTGGAGCACTTGACTGACAGCTGTCTCCATAGCCCCAATTAATCCTTTAAAAAGTATGCCTTTTAAAAGTGAGTTTAAAGTGGGTTGATCTAACTGTCCTGCAGAGACTGTAATAAGTTACTCTTGCCGTCTTTCAGTGCTTGTGAAACTGAACACAGAAGTATGGATATGGGAAACCAACACCCTTCTATTAGTAGGCTTCAGGAGATCCAAAGAGAAGTCAAGAGTATAGAGCCTCAAGTGGTTGGCTTCAGCGGCCTGGCGGATGACAAGAATTACAAGAGACTGGAGAGGATTCTGACGAAACAACTTTTTGAAATAGACTCTGTAGACACAGAAGGAAAAGGAGACATTCAGCAAGCTAGGAAGAGGGCAGCGCAGGAGACAGAAGGCCTTCTCAAAGAGTTGGAGCAGAATGCAAACCACCCACACCGGATTGAAATCCAGAACATCTTTAAGGAGGCACAGGCCCTTGTGAAAGAAAAGATCGTGCCCTTTTACAGTGGAGGCAACTGTGTGACTGACGAATTTGAGGAAGGCATCCAGGACATCATTCTGAGGCTGACGCATGTTAAAACAGGAGGGAAGATCTCTTTGCGGAAAGCAAGGTACCACACCCTAACCAAGATCTGTGCCGTGCAAGAGATCATTGAAGACTGCATGAAGAAGCAGCCTTCCCTGCCGCTCTCTGAGGATGTGCACCCTTCAGTTGCCAAGATCAATTTGGTGATGTGTGAGGTGAACAAGGCCAGGGGCACTTTGATCGCACTTCTGATGGGCGTGGACAGTACTGAGACTTGCAGGCACCTATCGTGCGTGCTGTCAGGGTTGATGGCTGATCTAGATGCTTTAGACGTGTGTGGGCGTACGGAGATCAGAAATTACCGGAGGGAGGTGGTGGAGGACATCAACAAACTACTGAAATACCTAGATTTAGAAGAGGAAGCTGACAGTACACATGCATTTGACCTGGGGCAGAACCATTCCATTCTGAAAATAGAAAAGGTGCTCAAGAGGATGCGAGAGATAAAAAATGAACTTCTCCAGGCTCAGAGCCCTCCCGAACTGTACCTGAGCTCCAAGACAGAACTTCAGGGCTTGATCGGACAGCTAGATGAAGTCAGTGTTGAGAAGAACCCCTGCATCCGGGAAGCCAGGAGAAGAGCCGTGATTGAAGTGCAGACCCTGATCACGTACCTGGACCTCAAGGAGGCCCTGGAGAAGAGGAAGCTCTTCCCTAGTGAGGAGAACCCCCCACACAAGGCTGTGTGGGATGTCCTTGGAAACCTGTCAGAGATTCAGGGTGAAGTCCTCTCGTTTGGTGGAAACCGAACTGATAAGAACTATATCCGTCTGGAGGAGCTGCTGACCAAACAGTTGCTGACCCTGGACGCTGTTGACCCCCAGGGAGAAGAGAAGTGTAAGTCTGCTAGGAAGCAGGCTGTGAAGCTGGCCCAGAACATCCTCAGCTACCTTGATCTGAAGTCCGACGAGTGGGAGTACTGATGGACCAGGAGCTGCTCCTGCTGGTTCACACTTTATCTGCTTTTAGAGAGCTTTCAGCTCATGGAGCCTAAATGTAATTTCTATGTGCATATTCAATCTCAGTATTTATGATTTAATCAAATTATATGCAGTATTTCTGCTGCTTTTGATGTTGCAAAACGAATATCATTATAGCACATTAACTTTTCCATTTGGCTCGTTATGCTTACAATGTGTGCTTTGTGTTGTCGACTTTGTGTGTTTCGATGGGAATACGAGAAGGGCAGCACTCCTAATTTTTAAGTGGGTTATGCAAGCATTAAATGCAGAATTAAGAGTCTAACTCTAGCTAAACTATGAGGAGGAGGAAACTCGGCCTGACTGGGAATAAAGTCCAAGTATAAAAACAATACAGAGATGTCTTATTACACTAAACAAAGCTTGGCCTTTTAAGTTACAAGGCCTCATTGGTCCTTCCACATTTTATGGGATGGGGTTTTTGTTTGGGTGGTCTGGTTTTTTTCCATAAACATTTTTGCTTGGAAAAAAAAACAAAAAAAAAAAACCTGTCCTTTCATTTGAGAAGAGGGAATCTTAGTGTACAGCACACAAAAAGATTAATGGAACCAAACAACCAAAACTTTGAGACTGCTTGAGAAAGGGTAAAAACATCAGCTATTCAATACCTTCAGTTTATTTTTGCTTGTGAGATCTCAACTAAAATTCTCCTTACTTAAAAAGGCTAGGAACATTTAAATGACGCCAGTGGCCATCGCTGTCTCCCTGTAACCCAAGGAGGAAACCTGTAGTGTCTGGTGTCAGGTCACCAAAGCTGAGGGGCATCTCCCTGGGGCATGAGTGAGATACATGTCTCTTGTCAGTCACAGCTGTAAAATAAGCATGCCCATTAAACATGATACCAGTTACACCATGACACCAGAGACTGCTGGTGATCCAGGGGGACCTGGTCTCTGCCGCTGGCATCCTAATTATCACCTGTACCTACCAGAGTGAGCTGTGGGTGCTGATGATACTGGCAGGAGGGCTCCTCTCTTGCCTGAGAATTCATTAGAACCTCTCAGTACATAAAAGGCTTTATTACTTGTTTTGTCCTTTTTGTGTGTGGGTTTTTTGTTCGGTTTGGTTTTTGTTTGGTTTGGTTCCTTTGTAGCTTTGGAGCCTGTCCTGGAACTCTGTAGACCAGGCTGGCCTCAAACTCACAAAAAACCTACCTGCTTCTACCTCCCTAGTGCTGGGATTAAAGGCGTGGGTCACCACCACCCAGCTTGTTTTACCCTTCTCTTAAAGGGCATGTGTGTTTCTGTGACTGTTTTCTAAGTACCCAGCTTTATGGTTGTCTATTGATGCAAACAAAGGAATTCCCCAAAATTCTGCAGTGCCTTGACAATGTGGGTCCCAGCATCATGTCTAATAAACCCCATTTTATTACATGACCCTGTGAGAGCCACCCTTTTCAACTTTGGTGAACTATGTTGTTTTGGGGTTCCCCACACACACACACAGAATGTAGATTTGGAAACTTTGTAAGGAAATTCTCTTTAAACTTGTAAAACTATGACGGATGAATAAATTAGCTTAAGTGCACCATTCACAGAACAGTGGGTCCCCAGAGCTTGTGGCTCCTCACCAAAGTCCCTAGAGTCCTCCATTTGGCCAAAGCAGTGTGCTGACTGCTCTGTGTTACAGCTTTAGAATGCCCTTCAAGTCTGACTGCAGGTTTTAAAATTGAACTCTGGGTAATCTTAGTACCTGGAAGTCACTTCAGGTGCACCTTTCCCTTTCCGAGAGTGGCCCATCAGCCACTCTCAGTGTTCAGTGTCCTGATGAAGCAGACTTTGTCGGTTTTTCGAGACAGGGTTTCTCTGTGGCTTTGGAACCTGTCCTGTCTTGTAGACCAGGCTGGTCTCGAACTCAGAGATCTGCCTGCCTCTGCCTCCCGAGTGCTGGGACTAAAGGCGTGCGCCACCACTGCCAGGCCAGACTTTCTTTAAAAGTGGTTTTCTGTGACCTGCCAAGACACCCCACACTGCAGAGCTTGGAGCCTTGCCAAGCTCAGGGAGGGCCCCCCCCCCCAAGTGAGATTTCCTCTTGGCCTTTGGGTACTGAATGTGGTCACATGACCTTGTGTGGCTGTTTGGAGAGGCTTTGTCTCCTGTTACAGTTCCTTGGACCCAATTATAAAGAACACTTCCAAAGTTAAGACTCTGACTTCTTACCCTCGTGTGTCACTGTGGACACTTCCTGGACTTTTTCACTTGGGCTCACCGCTATAGTAGTTTTGTAATCATATATGAAGAAACTGCTGCAAATAAAATCTGTTCTAGGGAAGCGAGGCCTTTGTCGGCATTAAACCATGCCATCCCTGTCTCTGAAAAAAAAAAAAAAGAATGGCAAGGAATATTCACTGTCTTCCCTGAAATTTGGATGGCTTTACCATCTGTCCAACTAGATGAATGTCTTATGACAAAGTCACTGTTAAATGGAATAAATGTGTCTATTCAGTTCAGTTTAATGCTTTATTTTGCTAAAAATGCCTCTAGATTAGCAGTAATGAAGTTCAACAGTTTTTCTCATCTCATTTTTAAAGAGTTTTTTTTTTTGTTTTCAATTTGAGGCTGGCTTTGAACTCCTGACCTTCCTGCCTCCACCCACCAAGTGCCCTGTCACACTTGGCTTCTTGCTGGTTTAATGCAGTGTCCCCTAGATTTTTGTTGTTGTTTTGAGCTTCAGCTAATTCTGTACATACAGATTGTGTTTTGTTTTTTGAGACAGTAGCCTGGCCTGCTCACACTTGCAGTGACCCTCCTGCTTCAGCCTGCTGAGGGTACCAGTGTCTGTCACCAGGGCTGACCATGAAGGCCTGGCCATTTTTAACTGATTGGATATTTCCCTTAAGAAGTGCAGAAATGGGGGCTGGAGAGAGGGCTTAGTGATTAAGAGCACCAACTGCTCTCCAAAGGACCTGGGTTCAAGTCCCAGCACCCACATGGTAGTTCACAACTGTCCAGTTCTAGGGGACCTGACACCCATGGCAACACACCAATGCACATTAAAAAATAATAATTAAAAAATAATTAAAAATAATAATTAAAAAAAAAACCCTGCAGAAACAAGCCAGACAGTGGTGGCACATGCTTTTAATCCCAGCACTCAGGAGGCAGAGGCAGGCAGATCTCTTGAGTTTGAGGCCAGCCTGGTCTACAGAGCGAGTGCCAGGACAGTCAAGGTGACACAGAGAAACCCTGTCTGGAATAACAAAATAGAATCACAGAAGCATCTCCCCATGGTTTTGATGTGACATCTGTAATCCAGAAGTGTTCCCAGAACACTAGTTCCCACGTCATCACTGGTAACCATGTGACTGTTGTGTTAGCGTGTCTAAAAATTTCGGTGTTCTCTTGACATATACACATTAGCTAACCCCTTAATTATTGCTGAAATAAAGCAAAGCTCTCAGCTCTCCTTGGTGTGTAAATGGATGAGTGCAAAGTGTGTGTGGTGGACTCTGCTGGCGCTCTACCTTGTCCCTCATGTTCTGTGTGGCTTTAGGGAAGAACCCTTTATGAGCCAGGCAACTTCTTAAGAGTTAGCCACAGTATTGTATGGAGGTAACAGCCTTGGCTGTTACCTAAACCCCAGGGCTTATGATGGGCCTGGCACACTGCTGCTTCGTTGCACCGGAGTTGCCTTGTAGAAATGAGAAGGGGCTGCAGGATCTGTTCTAGAAAGATTGTCTTCCTGAGGATCCTTAAGAAGAAAGCTTAGTCACACTGCTACTTGTGAAGCCTGTGTGTGCCCTCCACACACATGTCTCACACACACACACACACACACACACACACACACACACCACTGGAAGATTGGGCTCTGGCCTTGGCCCAGGTCAAGGGCTGGCTATTCGGTCTAGAACCAGATAGCTATACAGTAGTGCTTCTCAACCTTCCTGACGCTGCAACCCTTTACTACAATTCCTCATGCTGTGGTGACCCCAACCATAAAATTATTTTTGTTGCTACTTCACAACTAATTTCAATGCTGTTATGAATTGTGATGTAAATATCTGACGTCATCCCTGTGAAAGGGTCATTTGACCCACCCCCCCAAGGGAGTGGATACCTGCTGTGCTAGGAGCTATATGGAATTGACCACCCCGGGATCTGGAAGCTCAGGTGGCAGCCCCACAGGACAGTTGAGCATGGGACTAGAGTTCCCTGGAGCAGGGCAACACCCAAGCAAGCTTGTGCATGGCTCCAGTCCAGTCCTGGAAGCAGGGCTGGGTTCCGCCCTTCCTGGTTGGGACGTGTCTGAAGCCATCTACTTCCCATGCTATAATTAGATACTTTGCTGGTTAATCTACCGTTACCTCCCTATGGGGCCATGCTTTGTTTCATATAAATTCCAAGTTCTTAGAACCTACTGCTGCTTGTTTAGTACTATCCACAGATGGTCACTCAGTCACATGACCAAGGGGAACGCAGGACAATAAAGTGCAGGTCCACATAAATCAATTTACCTGGGGAAAGGTGGCGGTGTACACCTTTGATCCCAGAACTTGGGAGGCAGAGGCAAGCAGATCTCTGTGAGTTCAAGGCCAGCCTAGTCCACAGAGTGAGTTCCAGGCCAGCCAGGGCTACACAAAGAAACCCTGTCCCAAAACAACAACCTGGGAAGTCATAGCAGTGGCTGGTGTGTAGTCTCTAAGAGAGGAGGGTTCCACCAACTCACCGCACAGCGTGGACATCAGGCTTGGGAAAGCTCCCACTGCAAGAACACCGGCAAGGTAGGTAGACAACACCCCAGAAAACTAGGGTTCACATCCCAGCCCTGCCTCTGAAAGCCAGAGCTACTGATGAGCCTCTTAAACTTTGACTTCTGGAGGTGTCACACTTAAGGGAGAAGGGCCAGGTGACTCATGAATGGGACATTTAGCTAAGGTGTCACATTGTTCCAAGCTACCAAGTCAGCACTAGCAGCATGGGTCCCTTTCACAGAAGACAGTGCTGAGGCTCCCCTGCTGTCTTGTCTTCCAGCTGCGAGTCACATCCATAGAAATCACACCACCGTGGAGTTGTGAACTAGAGAGGGTGCAAGGGCCTCTCCAGAGCTGCAGGGCCTCAGGCTACCCATCGAGTCCCACCGACCTTCACTGCACTCCCTTGACCCATTTCATCCGCTGACAAAAAGCCTTTGAATACTTAGGCCCTTCCCTTGAAGCTACCGGCTTCCTGGCAGCCTGAAAGCTGCTGTTGTCTCTAGTCTCACACGCCTATATCTCAGGGCAGTCATTTGAGGTCCTAAGACATGGACCTGGGTAGTCCTGAGTGAACAGAGGTGAGAGTCATGGGCAGCCAACCTGTTTGTAGCCTGGGCCCTGTTGCTTTACCCCACG